GGAGGAGGAGGAGGAGGAGGAGGAGGAGGAGGGGGAGGACCAGAGAGGAACGTGGAAGATCTCGATTCACGCCTGATAGATAGATAGATAGATAGATAGCAATAAATCGATAAAGTTTCTTCTTACAATTAGACGGTTTTTGCCCAGATCCCGAGCACGAACGACTCGATCTCGCACTCGTTCGTCCCCCTTTGGATTCGGAAGAGGCCGTTCTCGCCCCATTGCTCACCCCAGGAGTTAACGACCAACTGGAAGAGAATAATTAACGAGAGAAAATTGGAGTAATTAAGGAGAGGGAAAAAATTACCCAGTATTTGATCGGAGAGCCGGTTGACAAATCTTCTCCCCATCCGATAATCCTAATGGAATGGTAACCAGAGTCGTAGGCCTGGACTGTTGGCGTGTGTCTGTACACTCCCGATTCGTACGAGAAGAAGTCTTGATAGACCCGCATGGTGGCTAAGAAAGAGACGCGTCGATCGTTTATTTGTACAAAAAGGGTGTAGAAATAGGGGTGTACCTTGTACAGGTCCGGAGGTTAGGATCTCTTGCATGATGTCAGTCTCGTTGCCCAGCCGATAAGCCGGCCCGACCTTGTACAACTCGGTCCGAAGCGGATTCGCCGGAGGGGGACATCCGGCAGTTTCCAGGTCTGTCCTCTTGCGAAACTTGCACTGCTCGTCCGAGCCTTTCCACGGATAACAGTTCTCGTCAACGAGACTGCGAAAGGCGAATAGATGTTACGCGGTACGGTGGTTGGTCGGCGATGGTAACGGGAGAAGAAAAGAATTACCCGAATTTTCGCATATAGAGCCATGCTCTGTCCAAGTAGCCACCGTTGCAGCCTTGTTGTCCTCTGTTGTTACAGGAGAGTAAGTGTTGCGCACTGAGGAGCACGGCATCCGTGCCCTTGCTCATCACGGCGAACCTATCGGAGGCGAGGTGTGCGGTGGAAATGGCCCAGGATGCGCCGCACCAACCTTGATCCTCCACGCCGGAAATCTCTCGAGGCCATCGAGTCCTCGCGTCGAACTCTTGTGGTAGCGCCGCCGGATCGTAAATTCGCCGCACCGAGTTCATCCTGTAAACCTTTCACCAGCGATTCATTGAATCGAATTGTTCGGAACGCGAAAACAACTTGAAACTCCTTACCGACCGCGACGGATTCAAAGTACCTAGCCGAAGTTGTACACCTTCCTTCAACGTTCTACCCGAAAACTCGGAGTAATTTCGTGCTCTCCAGCTGATCGACACACTGTTCCAGTTGATTTCCTCGATTAGTTTTGGCTCTTGTAGGCATCTATTCCGTTCGCATAGTACTTGGTTGCCTGTACACTTGCTGAGAGAAAGAAAGTAACGAAATGGAAAAAGAAGAAAGTGGTGGCGGGGGACACCTAACCTGGGAGACTTACCACGTGTTACAATTGATCTTAAACGTTTGTCCATGGGAGTAAGGTTTGCCCTGATGGTAGCATCCTGAAAATAACAGTGCGATACTATAGAACGGTAGGTGGGGTGGAGTAATCGTACCGGTAGGCGAAACGAAGTAAGGTTAATTACGAACGTCTTATCTCTTGCGGCTGTAACGTGACATTCGTTTCGATCCCTTTGCAGTGGCTCCAGTAATCCGGACAGCAGTCCTCCTCCCTGTGTTGGTCGCAGAAGTCGTCGCAGTAACACAGAGTGTCGAGAATCGGAGCGCTGCACTCATCCTGACGACCCGGACAACATTGACGCGACGGATATTTGTCGGCGCAGTACGGATTAGTGGACAACCCCGAAAAATCGGGAGTGCCGTTCACTATCGACATCACCAGGACGAACACGCCGCACACCAGCCTTTCCCAGGGTCGCATTTTTCACACGAGTCGATCGACCTGTTACAATCATTTAACTTTAAAGGCTCTCTCTCGCCGAGGTGCTCCGAGTTCTCGTTACACTTTACTCGGTGTACGACCGCTTCAACTAGGTGGTATTCGGCAACAGCTGGCAGTGACTAACGACAATGATGCCAACGCGTTTAAACGCGTTTTCTCTCTCTGTTTCTCGTTAAATGTCACGCGTGCAATTCGTCGCGCGAGATTCACCGTTTTACAAATACAAACGGGATGATGACTAGATAACATTAGACTAGACTAGATCAGGTTCGTGGACATTGGTGACGCGACGATTCGTCGAACACGCGTTGTAATACATATTAACGAAATTTACCAGACTGGAACGTGTCGACTAACCGTCACGCTTCCTAAAGTAGACGCTTCCTCGTTCTTTTCTTCTTTTCTTCCGCGTGTGGATCGATGAATTTTCGGTATCCTGCATAGGCTAGGTAGATTTGGAGTAGGTATGGAGCGGCACGATCTTGACCCGTTTCGTTTCATTAGAAACGGACCGCGAGCGATAACTATGCCGGCCGAGAATAAGCTAGTCTACTTTGCGCGAGAATTAAGAGCAATCCTACTCGAGTATCACACGGCCAATTTTCAGGAAATTTCGCGTTCCGATTTATGCGACGGGTCTCGACTCCGCGGCGTAACATACTCCTCTCACTCTCACTCGTTTAACTCGCTCGCGTTAAAAAATGATCAAGCGTCACCGCTTCGTCACCGCTTCGTTGCATCAACGCGTTCGCGATGATTCGTTTAGCTATGCTCATCCCTCGATCTTACCGCGTTTCAACGATGATCGTTATCGTTGGGAAAAGGCGTTTGAACGTTTCAATCTATATTCGGATCGCGCGCGTCATATTCGATCGATGGCTATGGAATTTTTTATACATGGACATCGACGCAAACTATTATCGGAAAGCACGCGGAAACGATTCCGCGACTCCTCCTTCGATTCCTCGATCGTTACCGACAACCAACATAATTCATGTTTGCATAATAAAACAGCAAATTGAATCGTATATGTATTTTTAAGCGGAGTTGAAGATTTCAGGGTAAGAGTGAGAGGTCCGCTGGACAGATGTAAGTACGTAAATGTACCCATAAAACGAACAAATGGACCGATATTCCGGTTACTCTTATTTACATAGTCCTTACGTGTCTTAATCGATTTCGACGTATCAATCTCGTTTTCTCTCCCACCTCCTACTCTGCCGCCTCTTTATTTCTTGTTTCTTCTTTTAATCTGTTGATCACGAGGCGCGCCAGTGCTTATACGCGATCTTTCAAATTGTTCGCGCTAAAAATAACGCAAACGTCATATTAACGCGTACGCGCCCACTGCCCCAAATTCCGATCGTTCTTTTTACGTTTACTTTTTAAGTTTCAAGAATCGTTATGACTACCCGTCTACTCATAAATTATCCACTCTTCCAACAAAGCCGCTCAATCTCGGTTCCAATTCCCTCCCTCTCTCTTTCTCTCTCTCTTTCTGAACGAGCGAGTATGCTTGTTTAAAAACGTGTCTGGAATCGTTTTCGGGAGGCTATAACGCGAAGGCTGGCTATCTCGTCGACTTTTTCGACGTCGAACGCGCTTTCCTGCATTTCAAATTTTCGCGGTCGTTGGTCGCGTTACGAATTCGACGTGAGAATAAGAAACGGCAGTCGGAAGTAGTGCGCGACTCAAGGGGCATGTATAATAATATACACGTACGTATAATGTTGATGTGGCGTTCAGCCGAATCGCGAGCAACGCATCAACGAACGAATAAACGAATAAACGAATAAACGAATAAACGAATAAACGAATAAACGAATAAACGAAAAGGTGAAAAATCTCACTTACTGTTTGCTTGAAGCTTTCGGAGATCCGGTATACCGACTAGCATCTGTGGTTCGCGCGCAGATAATCGGTCGCGCGGTACACGCTTCGATGAAACTTTTTCGAGAAACGCGGGAAGAAAGTGGAAGTTAACGGAAAGAGGATGCGACGCGTCGCAGCGGGCGTTCCCCGATCGAAAATTAAATACTCTGTATATTAGGAGAGAACACGGGTGATCGATGCTGGCGGCTCGGAAGCGCGAGCCTAACTGGCCCGCGAATACGCTAGGTAGGTTAAACCCATACGTGACTGTGCTGTCTGAATGTCGCGATACATCGCGGTTCGGTTTCCTCTCGGCTACACTCACTTACCGGCTTCTTCCCCTTCGGAAGATTCGTCATGTCTCGAATATGCAAAGGTCTGCGATTAAGCGCTCTGCTCGCGAATCGCCTGGTAGGACCTACATTCCATTCCGATACGCGATCATCGGAAAAAGCAAACACGAGTATCCGAAATCCCGTGGGAAGGAAAGGAAAAAAAAAAAGGGCAGGGCTCGTCCGGGATTTGAACCCGGGACCTCTCGCACCCTAAGCGAGAATCATACCCCTAGACCAACGAGCCACGTTCAAAAACACTCTCCTATACTTGGTACTAAAGGTGTTTCATTTGTTTATCCGAAAATCGTATCGACTATATTGATACACTCGGTTAACGCTTTACTATCTTACGAGATAATGTTATATTTATTTAAGAGGCAATTGAATAGGTCAACTTGAATCACCGTTTGCGAGCAAAAGTATTTGATAAAATATCGCGAGGAATCGATTAAGTAGCTGCAATTCTTCCTCCTTTCTACAGATTTCGTTGGAATATATTTTTGAAAATATTCGACGGTTATTCGGGCTCGTCCGCGCAACATGTATACCACGATTTAGATACGTGCATCAAAGAGGCGCCGTGGCTTAGTTGGTTAAAGCGCCTGTCTAGTAAACAGGAGATCGAGGGTTCGAATCCCTCCGGAGCCTGTGTACACTTTTTTTTTCTTTTCTTCCCCTCCCTTCCCTTCTTTACCCTTTTTCTATCGTGTCAATGGAAACGATAACATTCCTCCCTCCTTTCTTTTACTCTTCCCTTTCTCGTCGTATGTACACCATTACATCGCGGTATCGATGTATCGAAAAACTACTCCATGGTAACGAACCAGACGAGCGGTAGAAGATCGCGTACAGTGTAACTCCGATCGCAGTGGAAAATGGGAAATACGGAGAGTAACGTAGCCAGTGGAGTGAAGAAGCAGACGGACGCTTCGTCGATTGTACTTTACAAGTTGGTCGACATGAAAGGTATAAGAATGAAAAGGTTCTCCAGACTTTTGTAAGAGACCTGAGGAGGAAAATGGTGTTCCGGAACAGGAGGTGGTTTATTGGTAGACATGATGAAAAGGGCGACGCAAACGAAACAGTACGCGGAACTGGATCACGCCCTAAGAACGAAGGTAGAGCCGTATTTGTACAACAAAGGCAAAGGTAAATGGATTCCGGTGGAGAAGTTGGTTCTGATGCGGAATAAAGATCGTCCCAGGCACAAAATGGTACGGTACGGGGTATGGTATGGTGTGGTGTGGAAAGAAATGAGGAGAAAGATGCGTGCGTGGGATTGCAGCTTCCACCGCTGAGGGCTATGGAGAACCCGGCCGATTACGATATAGACAAGGATATGGCCGAGGAGGAAGTGGACGAGACGAAAATAGGTAAAAGCGGGATACATGTAAGAAAATGGTCGAAACGAAAGGAAAGAAAACTGTTTCGTGCTACAGATAAAACAAAGTACAGATTAGTCTGTTGGAGCTTGAGCGAAAGAGGAGCGGTTGGGGAAACGATTTTACATTTGTGCATGCTGCACGCCACTGCTATTCACACCGACCTGGCTAAACGTTTGCTACGTTTTTATCCTAAGCTTATCAACGACGTGTACATCAGCGACGAGTATTACGGTTAGTAGAAAGTCTTGGTCCGAATTGGTAGAAGAAAATTGCTAGAATCTTTCTTTGCTCGTCCGGTTGTCGTCGTTGTTGTTGTTGGACAGGCGAGAGCGCGTTGCACATCGCGATAGTGAACGAAGATCCGGCCATGGTGAAATTCCTTCTGGACAGCGGCGCGGACGTACACGAAAGATGCGTGGGAAACTTTATGTGTCCAGAAGATCAAAAGGCGTCGAGGTCGGACAGCCTAGATCACGAATGGGTTTGCGTAACACCGGAAACCAATTACAGCGGGTAAGAGGATGAAATATGCTCCCTCTCTTCTCTCTTCTCACTTCTCTCTCCATCTTCAGATACGTTTACTGGGGAGAGTATCCTCTCAACTTCGCCGCGTGTTTAGGACAGGAAGAATGTTACAGATTGATACTCGCTAGAGGAGCAGATCCGGACAAACAAGATACCAATGGAAATACCGTTCTACACATGTTGGTCATCTACGAAAAATTGGCAAGTACTCGCGCGATTTTACCTCGACCAGAAGACGAGAACGATCGGTTCCTTCTTTTCCAACAGGCTACCTTCGACATGGCATACGAAGTGGGTGCGTCGTTAGCGATTAGGAACGCTCAACATTTGACGCCTTTGACCTTATCCGCTAAATTAGCCAGAATCGAATTGTTCTTTCACATTTTAAACATCGAGAGAGAAATTTATTGGCAGATCGGGAGCATTACGTGCGCAGCCTATCCTCTCTCGCAAGTCGACACGATCGACGTTACCACTGGCAGCATCAGTCACAACAACGCTCTTAATCTGGTGGTGTTCGGCGTGAGTCGAGAAAAATCCTCCTGCGATCACTCGCTCTACTTCTTTTCATTTCTTTCTATTTCATCCTGCAGGAAAGGGACGAGCATTTGGAACTGATGGACGGTATTCTAGTCGATCTGTTGAACGCAAAATGGAACACCTTTGTCAAATCTCGATTCTATCGTCAATTCTTCCTTTTTTGCTTTTACTTTGTCCTGTCGTTGATCAGTTTTACCCTGCGACCCGGTCCGCCCTCCTCTTCTACCGCTTCTACTACCGTTACTACTGCTACTGCTACAGTAGATAACCGTGGGCCAACGTCGAGCGTTATTTGTCCCAACCTCGTCAACATGGCGGATGGAATCTCGAAAGATTTACTAAATTCCACCCTCTTCCTTCTTCTCGAGAAAGTCCTGACCACCGCTATAAACTCAAGTTTAACCTTAACGGAGGCGGGCCTCGATAAACTGAAGCTCGACGTTGCGTACGATTTAACGTCTACCTTGAACAACTTTTTCTCCGCGGATCGTCGAAACGAGAATAAACGTTTGTACGTTAAAAACGATACCGTCACGGTCGATCGTTATCTCGAAATGACTTTCACTAGGGCAGCGGCACTCCAAGATATCACGTCGTCGATCTCTGCTAGTGACAAGAACGATTGGTACGTTGCAACGACGATGCTGCGTCGCACACTTTTTAACGTTCCGATCGAAAATCAGGTGGAACAATCTGACGGAAGAATGCAGACTGATGCACTTGACAAGTTTATCGGCAAAGATTCGACTGACCGCTGAGGTACTAATGGAAATCGCGGCTATTCTTTATATACTTGCCGCGCTACGAGAGGCCAGATTTCTAGGTCTTAACATGTTCATCGAGAATCTAGTAAGAGGGCAGGATTAATTGAAACTACCAACTAGAATTGCTAACGTGAACAATCACTTCCAGATGACCGCCCCGTCGCGAGTAATGTTCCTCTTCTCTTGCTGCATACTCCTCTCTTTTCCATTGCTTCGATTGTCTTGCGCCGACCAAGTCGAAGACATGTTAGCGGTGATGGTGATGCTAACCACGGCGCCGTACTTTCTATTTTTCTGCAGAGGTTTCAAGACGGTTGGCCCGTTCGTCGTAATGATTTACAGAATGATCATGGGCGATCTCCTCCGTTTCGTCTCCATCTATTTGGTCTTCGTAATGGGATTTTCTCAAGGTGAATGGACAAACCTTCCTGCGGCCAACTTTTACGCATTCTATTACCATCCTTCTTTTCCCTTGGCCTGAAACTTTTGGCACACGATAACAGCAGAGGCACCGCCGCCCGCCGCTCGCTTCTCAACGTAGATCATGGATAAAAATAAACTTTCGATCGATTAAATTAAAACGCGCCAGCGATGACGAATCTCTTTTTCCTTTCTTCTCTTCCTCCTCTCTCTTCTTCGGTGTCGTTAAACAAAGTAGGTATAACTGATACCGAGCAGGCGATGCGAGTTTGCGTTATGACTTAATTGTCCGTTTGTTTTGCTACGTTAGCGAGCGACATTGACATACATTTACGATACACCGGAGCCTCTTCTATCGAGGCAACTGCTACAGCAGACTCAGACACCAAACCAAAATAATCGCAATCTTGTTCTCCTCTTTCTTTTCATTTAGCATACTACATTATATTCCTGTCTTTCGACAACCCTGATACACCGGAAGGAGTAGACGATTCGATGAGCAATCCAATGCCATCACCGGTTGAGAGTATCATGGCGATGTTTCTCATGAGCATGACGAATTTCGGAGACTATTATGGCGCGTTTGAGAGGACGCGACACGAGTTAGAAGCGAAGGTGCTCCTTTAACGTTTACCCCAAAACCGATACTTTTCTTACCAATTTATTTACCAATCTATTACTAGCTTCTCTTTGTGCTGTACATGGCGATCGTTGCGATTTTACTCGTAAACATGTTAATTGCCATGATGGGAAACACGTATCAGAAAATCGCTGAAACAAGGAACGAATGGCAAAGACAAGTACGTCTCTTCCTTCCCCTTCTATTATATCGTATCGTTTCGCTAGAAACGAAAGAACGCCGTTGAAATTTTCCGTTGAAATTAATATTACAGTGGGCACGTATAGTTTTAGTAGTAGAAAGGGGAGTAAGTCCAGAGGAAAGGCTTAAGAAATTAATGGACTATTCGCAACCAATGTCCGATGGTCGAAGAGCATTGGTACTCCGATTGAATCAATCGGTAAAAAATATTTACATATATACATAAGTTTTTACCGATTTCAACCGTTTTCGACTGTTTTAGGAAGAAGACAAGGAAGAAATGAAGGAGATTTTAGAGATGAAAAGAACTCACGATAGATTATGGAAAAAAAGGCAGAACGTTACTTTGTAACTTGAAATTTTCAATTATTCCATATTAAATTCTCCTCGTTCGAATTTGTCTCGAATAAATTGTACCTAAATTCGTGCCATTCGTGCAACCTGATTGTATCCATAGCAAGTAACCGTAGCAACCGTTTACTGTATCTACTAATAAATATTAATAGCCTTGTAAGCAAATTTCTTACTTTATATCTCGATACTCTCTTCCCCCGAAAAGAAACACCAATATCTCAAGAGATTGCAAGTTGTGTCAATGAGCAAATTAAGATTACCCATAAATTGGAAAAGTTTAGAGTTAGAACTTGGAGAAGCTCTTAAGGCAGATCAATTATACAGATTACAAAATGATGCCAAACTAAGAGCAGTGGAGCAGAATGTATCTACGTATGAAGATTTTAGACAAATGGTAATGATATACCTCTCTTAAGAATATTCCTCTACCTCTTGTCGTCGCTGCTCTGCAATTATTTCATCTAAATCAAATTTATCGTTAGGTGAATGCTGCCCATTTGAAACCCTTGGAACGTGCTGATTTCAAACCTGTATCACAGAGACCTTGGAATCCTGTTGTTGATATGGACAATTCAAATACAGCAATGTTGCTCGATCTGGTAAATGAAAAACAGTCTGAAGATTGTCGCAAGGTCTCCCCCGAACAGGAGATTAATATCTTTCAAGATAAAATACCTACCACGTATAGACAATTTGTGCAAACTTGGAAAACGATCAAAGGAAGTAAGGCAAAATTTCGTTGCATCCAAATTTTAAGGTAGAATATCACAATATCCGAATAGAACTGAATCAAACTTAACGTTATTTTAAATGCATATCTATTTAACGTTATTTCAGACATACCTTACTAGAGAAAATTTTCCGTCCAGAGATTCCTTCCTCGTTACTTGTCGAGCTAATAAACATTTGCCTCGAAAATCTCTCGATTACAGATCGTATCGAGCCTATTCTTGACATTTTACGCATCTTGAGTAAATGTAACAGATTTTCTCTGGCAGTAAGTTTTATGGGAGAAAACGAAAAAGATATCTGCAGACGACTGTTCCGCCACTTGCTTATTAACGCAGATTATCAAAACGAGATCATTTATAAAGATACGATTGAAACGTTAGCGCTACGTTATAAAGTAACATTTGAGTAACAAATTAAAACAACTAGTCAACTTATAACTAAACTACACTCTACGTTATAATATCGGATAAGAAACAAATTGAATTTGCCATTTCTTCTAAATACAAAACTTGAAAACCTACTTTAAACGGTACGAGCATGCGTCTTGACGGTCAACCAACCACGTGACTGTCGAGTACTTAATATGGCCGCATACACTGTAATACTAGTTCGAGGTATCGCGATCATAGTTGATTGATGGTTTATTTCAAAATCCATCCAAATTTCAACCAAAATTCATTTTATTCTTTTCTTCAATTGATATGACTCGAAAGTTTAGTAGCGAACATTTCTGTTGCCGTTTAACCAACATTTCGCGATGCGTACACGTACGTACGTGGAAAGAAAAACATTTATGTATGTATGCATGGATGTCGCATGTATGCACGCATTTCGTAACCAAACAAAACCCCATTGGAATCATCCCATTAAATCTCCACTGACAGTGTC